CAACCAACCTCCCCCACATTTAAATCTTGTAAATCGCACAACACGGGCACTTTGTCTATGATCAAAGCCAACACAGGATGAGGCAACGGGCCCTTGGAAGTTCACATCATGATCTGTTTCACATCTTTGCCACGTAATTTGAGTTAAGAGGCAAAGTGATAGCCACCGGGCCAAAATTCCCCGTGCCAAAATTCCCCGTGCAACAAATTTTTCTAAAAAAAAGAAATTACAGCGAGAGGGCAACTATTTTTGGAAGGCTCGATCTTTTTCCGCGCCCCGAATATGGATGGAGATATCCCTACCATTTTAAATTGAGGACGTTATCTTTTTCGAGTCCCACTTTACTTTACTGTTGGAATTATAAAAATTTCATATTGAGAAAGCTAAGTTAAAATGTGGGGCCCACTCTTAATTCAAGATTATATCTTGCATTTTTTTCTTCTTTATTTTTGCTTTTTTTTTCTTAATTGGAATGAAACTGGTGATCCTCTTTTCCAGAAAAAAAAAGATAGGTTTTTTTAGGAAACTAATTATTGTGTTGAAGAGTTGTATATATATTTTTGTACTAAGAAGCCTTTATTCTAAACATAACCTAAGCATAAGAGTGAAGAGAATCATCTACGAATTTTAATGAATGCATTTGGTTTAATTAAAACTTTAATATATGTTGCTGTCATATATGTATTTTAACTATTCAACTTTCATTTTATTTGGTGAATCTAATAGTCCAATTATTATTGATTTATTTTTATATCATTTCTAAAATGAAACTTGAGCAGTTTAATAATGAAGTATTATCGTTCGAATAGATTCTAGTGTGATCTAGTGGTGGTGGTCTAGTCACGTTACGTCGGTTGTCGGTGTCGCGTTCCGGGTCATAAAAAAAATAATGAAGTATTATCATAGTGACAGAAGACTCAAACTCAACATGCAGATGAGAAAAGTAAAGCTTATTCTCTATTTTTTTTTATAGAATTTTTTGAATTTTTTTTTGCTGAAGACTTAGTGGGGAAGCGCCACATTATTGTTCTGTACATCTGTCTCCTCAATCAATTGTTCAAAGAAATATGGGGGAACCAATCATTTTCAATCTTGAACGAGCTCGTCTTAAACCCAAAAGTAACAAAAAAATGAAGAAGAATTATTTAAGTTCATGTCTCATTACAGATAAATAATGAGATTATAATGGGGCACACGCCTTTTGATCTGCCTTAATCATCTTTTTGCCTTATGATTAAGAGCCACAAATTGCTTAATGACACATCTTGCACTTATTTTGCATTTCAAACATGATAGGCATGTCCTCTCTCTCTCTCTCTCTCTCTCTCTAGTGACAAGTCACTACATGAGCACACAGGATCATTTTGATAACAATTCCAGCAAACTGATTGCTACAAAAGTCCAATCCTACTCACTAACGTCTATACCCAGATGGAAAATTTGAAACTTCATCAAGATTCTCGACGTGTAATGTCCAGACACGTATTATCTCCCTACGCTTTTGGCTTCGACTTTTGCAGATTAGTTGAACATAGACTAGTGAAGAAGGTTGAACTCTGAAAACTGCAATGCAAGTGCGTTTTTCCTCCCATATCCTGCTTAACTGTTGAGCTCACAGACATTGAAAAATCATCATATAAGACTAACATGACCTGAGTGAGTGATTAGTCTGCTACAGAAAACAGATGCAGAAAATGGTAGATTACGTAGGGAGATATGCTTCCCCAGTTTTGGTTCTGAATTTGCCGAACTTGTCAAGCGGCCATTCTTTACTCTTAGGCGCATAAAGGATGACAGACTATTTGTGGAATGACCCCTAGAGTTTCTGGACTTTAGTCTTTTTGCAAACCCTAAGCCCAAACACGCTTTCTCTGAATTTGCATTTAGTTTAGTGCAAACAAGGGCACAACAAAGCCGACAGGCCATGTTACAGTGTACCCATGCAACGCATGGCTCACTTCATTCTTAAAGAAGGATGAAAAATAATAATAATACAATTTATACTTTTATGTAAAAATATTTTTTAATATTAAAATATTATTAATAAAAATATTTATAAAAAAATACCTATTTTAAAATCGTTATAGCCATCTGCAAATTGTGCCTGTAAAAAAAAAAGAAAAAAATATTTTCAATAAAAATATTTTTTTCTTTTGTAATAAAACACACCCATATTTTTAAAAAAATTATTAATAAAAAATTATTTATAAAAAATTTTTTACGCCATGGCCATAAAAAATAAAAAAAATTATTTTTAATAAAAATATTATTAATTAAAAATATTAATATTTTAAAAAATTCCGGCCATGGCCAAGAAGGAAAAGAAGAAGAAAAATATTTTTAAAATAAGAAAAATATTAAAATATTTAAAATGTTATTAAAATATTATTAATAAAATAAAAAAGGAAAAAAAAGAAAAAGAAATTAAATTTATTAATAAAAGAAATTTTATCGTTACCAAACGCATTTCTATTCTTTTACTATTTCAGGAATAGAAATTTTGGGCCATTACTAAACGCCTTCAAATGCTCAGAATCAGTTCTCGGGCACAGAATAAAAAAAAAATCATTTCTGAGCAGAATCTATTCCCGGGCACAGAATGGTTTCCATGCGCAGCCTTAGTCCCTCAGCATCCATGACGCAGGTTTTTAAAGCAGCTGCAATGTCTTAACTGATGCTATTCAATACAAAGGTTTTTTTTTTTTTTTTCCTGTAGTATTCATCTTTTCATCGTGGACTTTTGCTTCCTACTTAGTAACAATCCGAGATTGGCTTTGAAGTAGACCAGTAGACCTAATAATGGTGCCACTCATGAACTTGCATATTGGGCTTTTCATCAAATAGAAACCACATCTTTGTTTTAATAATTTTCCATCTAGAGTTAAAAATACGGTATTAGTAAAATCTTCTTTGATTTATCATTTTAATGTAGGCAACGGTTCCTCTTTGTAATATTTCGATCGCTTTTGATGGAACGGACTGTTAGGTTTATAAAAAAAAAAGTCACGAGGTTGATGAAGATTCAAGGCTGTGATATCTTTAAGGGAAAAGAATGTGTTGTCTCAGACATCCAGGATTAAATCAAATGCCAGGTGGCCGCAACAGATGGCCCGAACACATGACCCCAACTTAGCTTAGGCAGATACCCATGTAATAAGAATTTCATTGTCTCTTGACAAGATCCTGAACAAAATCATGTACTCAGCCCACAGATTTGGGTGTGTCAGTGGATGGATGATTTTGAAATCAATGTTCAGACAATGATGGCTTCGATTTAGTCAAGTACTGTTCTTGATGTTTAAGTTGACGCAAAAGTGTCAGGTTCAACAGTGTCAATGTTTGGTATGCTTTCACTTGATTCAAATGGCACGAGCATCTAGATGAAATTGCCTTTTGCATGCACAAGCTGTGCCATTCATGAAGGGGTACCGAGGGGTTGATTAATTTCTGACTTTGGGATTAAATCTTTAATGCGAATAAGTGTATTACAGGCTTTCACATTTCACTGATCTTGATAGTAGAATCTAGGCTTTAGCAGGTTTCTGTGTTTCCTTCGAATGGTAAGTGGAGAACTCGACATCTTTTCTCTCCTTTGGTAGGAAGGAATCGGATCATAGTGGAATCACTACTCTTATGTGGGATTCATTTCTTGGTGTCTCTAAGAAAACAACCGCAGCAAAAAAGTGTGTTATTTACTGTTTTGGCCTGTGTTTTTCTCATAAATGATGACTCTCTGGGGGTGTTGCCTGGTGCACAAGCCAAACCTCCGCCACAAAGGAACCAAATTTTCCGAAGATCAAAGAGTGACGGGGTAATTTTGAACTTACGACCAAAGACGCTGCAAACCATGTGAGAGCAAGCATTATCCAACTCGATCAACTACCTTGACAGTGCTAGTCTAGTCAAATTGGAAAATTTATTACTTTAACCCCAAAAAAGACGGTGAATAAACTTCATGTGACCAGAATCTAAGTTTAGATGTCAATATATTTACCTCTTTTAAAGATTTAGATTGGTCAATATTATGTATATCAAGTGCTAAGATACAAAAAATTAAAAGTACAAATCATTTCAACAGACCCCCCAAGTCCAAACCACAAAGAGGAGTATTCCATTCTTAAAACACTGCATTTCATTCCACTCACAAGCATTTAGTTCACTTGCAATTATTCCGAGTGCAATGTATCATATATGGTTCTATCTCTCGTAATTTATTTCAAGGAGAAATATTTTCTGATTGGAATTCTCTTGCCACACCAACAACAGTCCAAAGTCTTAATCAAAGACAAGGAAATCAATGCTCTGTCTCTTGCTTTCTTGGTAGCCAATTTTGTACAAGTAGGAATCCAAATTTTGTTTTATTCTCGATTCCATTTCATTACACGATCCACTGCATTCTGACATTATTCCATTTTATCATACCAAACATACAAAAAAGTGAGCCACAGATAGTTGAGACTAACTGCTGTATCTTGATAATGTTTGGTGGCCTCTGCCTCTGTCGGCCATTGCAGGAAAACAGAAGGGCCATTGGACCAACAGCAGATGCGCAAGAAACTTTAGGTCAATATGTTATGATGCCTTCATTTCCTTTGTGCTGGTACATGAGAGGGTCCAAAAGCAACAGTGAAAAATAAAACAGCAACATTTTTCTCTACAATTATACAAACCACCATCGATTCACTAGCCGGAATACTTTTACACTCAAAAGACAGTGAAGAATAAAGGCCTGTCAAGGAGTTGCATTTGTATTTTCTAGTTCTTAAGAAAACTTCAAGGGAAATAGTTAAATAGCATCGCTCTATCAAGAAGAAGAAAACTCGTGTTCCCAAAGCACAAACAGCCGCCAGCTCTTTCCTTACCAAAAAAAAAACACAGCCGCCAGCTCTTTGGTCTTGGAAACACTATGTACCGTGTGTTGAGTTTGATCCAAGCTGAGAACTTCAAAAAGATCATACACAATTCCATGGAAGTTAATTCACCTTATCATCTTGAGAATATTTGGCCAGATCCACATGATTAAGGGCGGTTTTTCATTATGAATGGATTGCCTTGTGTTCATCGATAAAATGCGGGCTGGCTTGAAGATCTGTTCAAAGAGTTATTATATCCATCATACCATTTACAAATATAGCATAACAGAGTTAGACGTTCGCCAATTTAAGCATCATAAGACATAATCGGCGTTCCTATAGTAAACTAGTTACACGCTATAATGACCCATCTAAAACTTTAAATAATCTAGCCATCTCTGTGTGACGCATAGCAGCCTGATCTTAGCTGTTAGGTTCAGAGAAGGCGTAACAGTCCAGGCCATCTTAACTAGATCTTTCTTTGGTTCTATTTGCACAACAGAAAAGAGACCTATACTAAGTGAGATGTCCTCAAGTGGGCTTTATGTCAAGTCATCATCCTTGACTTCCAATATGCTTACATGACACTGCAGAATGCCTTGACCTCTCCAATACCATTCTTTATGAGTACATACTGATCTATCAATGTATAAGTAGGTTCTAATTGTAAAGCAGATGCATGTCCATGCGATAAATGATTCTGAAGCAGAAGTGCAATCATCAGATTTAAAGAGAAGTGGAAAGCATATATCCACAGTCTAACAGCTCACCTCTCCTTGATTCATGGGACGGTTGATCAAAATTTGAATGCCTTCCGTGACTAAACCTAAGTTTTCCTTGTTCTCCCTTCTTTTTTGATCTTGAGGAGCTCAGAGAGCCTTCAACTAATGAAAACAAGAGAATTGAGTTAGGAATAAATCAGAGGAAGGGGGACTTCTTTAGATTAGCACTATCCAGTACGAAAAATCTTGTCCATACCAACTCAACATGTCAAATTAAAATGAGATCCTTTAACATTTTGCATATACTACAGACTACAATGGTTATGTGTGGCGTGCATAGTACAGATAGTTCATCAAGCCCTATGATATACCTCACATGAACTCCTCTTCCTATTCTTATCAGTAGAGCAAATGAACTCTTGTTCTGCCGCAAATGAGATATGCATTTGTAATTGTCCATTCAGCGGTCATACATGTCCAAGTAAATTTGATGCTTCATTGTCCTTGTACATAATGATTACCCTCAACATATTTTGCTGATATATTCACAAGCATTAAGAAAGGCAATTCTGCTTCAAAAACATCAAGTTCTACATTTAATTGATGAAAGATTGCCTTGTAGCTATCTCACAATAGAGTTATATGTTCATCTCCTCCTTTCAACCCCTTTCCTTCTCCTTCTTTGCTTTCTTGTAAATGAGACCATAATCTAATACCCAGAAAAAGCTGAAACATATTTTACATCTCACTGCTGTTATCACATGATTGCATAGTTATTGACTTTCTTGTCTTTGTTTTATCTGTCACATTAACATTGAAATAAAGGATCAGATGAGTTTTTCTATCTAGGAAAAGTTCATTTTGTCTAAACACGCAATTCAAGTTAGTAGGCAGAAATTTCCATAATATTCAATGGACACTTCAACTACACATAAACCGTGGAACAAATGACAAACAACGCTGGTTGATATCATGTTGACTTTTCTTGTGAGGCACAGAAATGCAGAAACTACAGAACCTAGAAAAGTACAGAACCAGAGAAAAAAACTGTCAAAGCATTTGCAAATACAATGGCGTGGAACTTTCTCTGCACTGCGTTTCTGGTAGAGAAATGAGCTAAAGCATTTATGACAGTGCTTTCAATATTTCAATAGTATATCTAACCACGACAAACGACCATTCTGCTGTGACCCTCTTCAGGAGATCCAACTTGTGGAATTATGTTACGAGTTACATGAATTAAGCTTGTGCAAATTCCAATACCTTGCCACTCCCAGACCACTTTTGATTCACCCTTAACCAGCTTTGGGTATCTATCTATGCGAGAATCTTCCTGGACCAACTCCTCAACCTGCCACTCAAATGGATATTAATACAGACAGCAACTCTTTCTCATTTTTTTATTGGAAAATGAACAAGAAGAATAGAAAAAACACGCTATCGTAAAATGCCAGAGCACACAGGAAAATTTGTCATTAAAATGTTTATCTGTATCCAGAACTGTGGGTGTACGAACCTTCTTCCACAGAACACGATCTTTCCTTTCTTTTGGTAAGAGAAGGTGATCTCGTAGCCTAGCAGCAACTACCCATTGTTCAGTTTCGCTGTTACCCTTCTTTGATGTCAAGGCATTCTCCTCGAGTATGTCACAAACCTATCGGTAAGATTGCAATCAATGGTCTGACATGAAGTTGCAAGTAAAATGAAAGAACAGTATGAGATCATTAAATAGCAAAAATAGCCCATGAAGCTTGGCCACCAGACCAATGTTATAGGGTTCCATGTACAGTTATTCCGTTGACAGCATAGACAATTCTTGTCACACTATGTGATCAGATATCATGCCCCATCTAAAAAATTTTCTTTGCAGGAATATCAGCACTTGAATTATGGGCGATAATAAGTCAAAATTCTTTGACTTTGATTCCACATTAACCATATTACTTTTAATTACCCTTCCAAGCAGAATAATCATGCCACAGCCAGAAGAACAGGGAGATCTAAATCTCTCGAGGTGTCTTATTGTTGGCTAGCTAATGTCTCGATTGTTTAGGAGGTTGGAAATCATTCTACAGAATCATCTCTCTTAATGTTCATTATGGAAGAAAAAATATAAGCTCAAGGCCCTAATCATTTCAAAAACAGGCAATTGAAGTCCTCATTTAAGTGAAGTGCCTGAAAAATACATCTTATGGGGCAACAAATTGCAGATTAAAAGATGGGACACGATAACTAGTGAATTTTTCCAGATTTAAGCATGTTCTCCATAAGGACAACTGGACAGGAGTACTAATATAGCAGAGACAACTGTAATGAGTACAAAGCATGCGTTGACTCCAATGAACCAAATCACACTTATGTCTCATCTTTAATTTTAGTTATCTCCAATGAACCAAGTACTTTTTTATAATCAGCCAGATATATCCCTTGACTACCTGATGGTAAAGCTCTTCCACTCTAGTTGACAAATGCCATCTGCGACGGACTTTCCAGATTAGCATTGCAGAAGCCACGAGCTGTATACCTTAATACAGTCAACAAGCTTTGGTAGTATAGATGGTAAAACATAAACAGTGAGAACTGCCCAAGAATAGAATACCAGCAAAGAAACTGGCACAACCAATAACACATGCTTGAAGATCCATAGACGGATTCGGCAGGTGTATGGCTTGAAAAGTTCCGCTACGGAGTCTGGACACTTCAGCTCTTTCATTCTGCGCATAAGTACCGAAACACATAAGTGCAGGATCCTCATTATACATACTTCATCTGACTTTTCAATAAATGTAAACAACATACCCAGAGAAATCTGTCCTGCTCTCCATTATTTTTCCAGCAGCTTCTACCGCCTTCTGTTTTGTATAAATGAAAATAGCAGTGTCCCAGCCAAAGTTCTTCATCAGTTGGTGTCCGTCCAAATCCTTCCATATCTCTTCAGCTGGAACCTGACAATACTTAGTTGTTTAAGCAGAAAAGTAGTGTGGAGCATTATTTAAAAGCAAAGAGACTTAAAATGAGGATGACATTGTCCCAAAGAGACAGAGGAAGAGATGAGCAGCAAGAACATACCCAAGCTGTCCCAGTCCCATAGCATAGAAGCTGAGCATTCGCTTCACAAAGATGATTTTCAACCCATTCTGACTGAAATCAAGAAGATAAGTTACACGATTCACATCAAGATATTATATCCAACCAAAATGACACTATAAGTACAGCAGAATCAATGACTCTGATAACGTACAAGTTTCCTGGCTGTTTCATTTATATCTCCATCTTCCACACATGACCTCCCAAGCTTTCTGTATCCATGAGCACAATCAAGTTCGCCCTGATGGCATTCTCCGTGACTCGGACAAGGATCACAATCATCTGCAGTCATGAGAGTTAATATGACAATACTGCCGAAGTAAGCATTACATGATAATTTCTAGCCCCGCACTGGAAGATCCGCCAGAAAGAGCCTCGATAAAAATCATTTGGTCTTTGTAAAATGAAACACCGAAACACCTTCAAGAAAAGAACACATCAAAATGCCGATGCACAGCATGTCGGTACGATGTACCAAAGAAAAACCCCTTCAGTTTTCCGGTATGGAATGGAACACAGACACCAAGTGGGCCAACAGTTAGATGATCAACAGTTACCCATGTAATTGCAGCTACCTGATCTAGCTAAAGATTCTACCTTGAGCTTGCTACAAAGAAATTACATTACATAAAAGCGAACTCGAACGCAAGCGCAAAAAACAAACGGAACCCACGAACCAGGCACCGAAGAGAAACCCATCAACGTTGAAAAGAAGGGAGGAACCTGCGAATGCATCGAGGGGGTCGACATCGCTGCCGCAGAAGGGCCTCGCTTGGGGGCGGAGGAGGAAGCTGGCGAGGAGGTGGCAGGCGACGGCGACGGAAGAAGCGATGACGAGCACAGCCACGACCCTCAGCAATTCCTGCTTCGACGGGAACAGGAATTGCGGCGGCTCCAGCGCGATCGGCGATCTCCGGGACGAAGAGGAAGAAGGAGAAGGAGAAGGAGAAGAGATTTTGGGTTTTAGGCGCCTCTTTGGCGTGGACGACATTTTTTCTTTTCTGCGTCCAAACGTTTGAAGCTCGGAAATGCATTTTGTTCTTATTTCGGCTGTTTGGTGGGTCAAGAAATTATTAAATTAAATAAATAAATGAATAAATAAATATACTAGATGTTCATTTTCAAAGCAAGAAATCAAAATTAAATACTAGAAATGATTTAAGGCTAGTGGTTTCTTTTCGAATGAGCTGTTTTATTTTCAAGGAGAACATTAGGTGAAGTACTTTTTTTTCTTCATTTTTGTCTCTCAAATGATGAGCTTAGGGACCTAGTCAATACTCAAACTAAAGGAGTAAAAATTATGAAATCTTCAATTCTTTTTTTTTTTGGGGCTTGTTTGGATAAATTTGTTACAATAGTAATTACAAGCTTCAACAGCATTATAGAATTTGAATTAAGCATGCCGAAAAAATAAATGAAGTATTATGATTCGTGTTAGGTACAAATGAGTATAAGGGTTTGGGCAATACTAAATGAGTATATGGGATGAAAAGGATTGGAACAATAATTTCAACTCGTTTGTTTAGTAATTAGAAAAATATATAATAAGAACCCAATAAATTTTAATTGAGATTTTACCTTTTAGTTGCATTTACTTAATGCTACAAAGTTGGTGGCATTCATGTTTTAGATAATAATATATATAGTAAAATTTCTTTCAATTATTAAAATAGAAATTATTATATATATTAACTCACTTTTTTTAAGCGACCACCGTTTTATATCACATGAAAATATCATTGTAAAATTGAATGAACAAGTTCTCAGTTTTAAGAGATAGAGTTATACGAGAAGCCATAAAAAAGATAGAGTTATGTTACGGATAATTTTGAAATTTACATTAAAAGATGATTTAGTTTTCATTTATATAATAATCAATTTTGTTCGGATCGATGTAAACACTATATCTCAAATTAAAGTAATTCAGCTTTTAAACACACATAAGCTATTTATCTATTTATAATAAGAAAGGACTAAATACCACCTAAATTTATTGTATATAGTCTCTGCAAACTATTTTTGAAATGAGGATTCATTTTTTATTTTTAAAACTCAAAATGTGCTGAGCAATATGCATTAGATAAACATTCAATTCAATCAGATACGCCAAAAATACAACGAAAACTACGGGTGGCAATTTCCTCGGCTGTCGGCTAACTGTCCGTTTCTCTCCCGCAGCTGGTTCCTTAAAGAACCCGCAAATTGCACAGTAGATTCCAGATGGGCAAGGCGTAATCCAAGCTTCTTCACCTTTTCTTGAATCTTCTTTGCAGTTCCGACCCTTTCCACCCTTTTGCCAGGTGGGTTTCCGCATCCTTTTTCGCAGCTTGATCCGACCGATTTGGGTTTGGAATTATGTCGGGGTTCGCTCGTTGTGAGCAAACCTTATTTAACTATGTTGTTTTGCGGCCCTTTTTGGGAGATGCCATGTCGTTGTATGGATGCACCTGGAAAAAAGAATGTCGGAGAGGGTCGACGTTTGCCGTGAGGAGTCGGATTCGATCGGAATCTTGGAATTCGAGTGGTTTCGTTGCTTTCGGAATGAGACCCAGTTGGGGATTCGATCTTTTTGATGGTTTAGAGTTACTGATTGCATGATCTAATTGTAGATAGTTGGCTCATGGTTAGTGAGATTGATAAGTATGAAGCAGAAGGTAACCAGTATTTATATGATTCATTGATTCATGAAACCAGGCTTAAAGTTGTGATTCTTTCTTCTTTTTTTTTGGTAACTGACTTACAGTTGGGAACTTCATAAGCCAAATTTTAAGACTTGAACTTAAAAATTTCTCCAGTGCTTACATTGTGCCTCTACCTGATGGTCCGAGTTCTTGAATGACAGATGAATTGATTGCTATCACGATGCAGTTATTTTGAGTCATTGGATTGAATGTTTTTCCCATGCTAAAATGGTCGTGCCTACATTTTCTCGTGATTCGTACATCATAACTAGACACTGTTTAGTTCGGCTACTATTCAGTAATTGCTTTCTTGTGATACTTCATTGAAGATTGAGGTTGCTGAATCACTTGGTGAGAGGTGTTGTTATATTCTGGAGGATGAAAATGTTGGGTTTCTAAAAGTATAGGCAGGCATGCATACTTTGCATTCTTGTTTTTGCCTTTTTCTGCTGCATTTTGATATTCCTCCTGTATATGGAATGGCTCTCTAACATGTTCCTCTTGAAATTGTCTTCATTTCAGTCTTGATCCCTTATGAGGTGACCGGAACTGGATTTGCTTAATGGCAGACTTACCAGGGTATATGCGTGCCTGCTTGCATTCAGGGAAACTTGCTTTCTTGGCAATTTTGGTCTCTGGTGGAATTGTGTTGCAAATTTTGGTTAGTATCAGTGATTGTACCAGAACTTTGTTTGTGTAAATAATCAAAAAGATTCCCTGGCGAAGTACCGTGTGTCCTCTGACATTCTATATGATGTGCTGCAGGCATGTGCTTTGTACGATAACTGGTGGCCGATGCTAAGCTGTAAGTAACTGTATCTTGGAGTAGTGGATGTCATAACCTTTATGTGCATCCGCCCATAAGGAATTTGGATTCTCCGTTCTTCTTTTATTGTACAGCATCTTAGCTTTTTAAAAAATTAAGAATGGTCATAGTCGTATGAGATCAAATCAATTATCAGTAAGATTGTGTCCTAACTACTTATCTTAATCCGGAATGCTTCATCTTATGATCCATTGTCATGCTAACATTTCCAGAGACAGACAGAACTGCAAGAAGTTACCCTAACTGACACCACTTCTTTTGTACCGTAGGGGATCAACCTGATCCAGACTTTCTAGTCGATAGCACCTGTGATAAACCTTATATTTCGATTCCTGGATTAATTTGTTTCAGAAATCGAGAATTTTCAAATTGAATTACCATTCTGTCAGTGAGATACTGTTTAGAGTGTATGTCTCTATGTTGAACTTCTCATCGACTAGCGTATCTAGTGACAATATGCCCTGCATGGTTATGTAGCTTTGCTAATTTATTGGTCATTTTGTTTGCTTATCAAATTGTACTTTTAGATCCTATAAAGATTTTTTGACTCAGAGAGAGGAATGTTGTATGACTTCCTATTCCTTTTGCAATTAGAACTTCAGTCATATGAAAACTCATTTTACATATGCTGCAGTTCAAGTTGCTTGAGTACGTGCATGACTTACAAAATCCTCATCCTTGCAGTAATCATGTATGTGCTCCTGCCTATGCCACTGCTCTTCTTCGCTGGCTCTGATAGCTCTGCTCTATTTTCTGAATCTGATAGCGGGTTAGTCCAATTTCCTTGAACGAGGAGTCCTTATCCTTTTTTTTTATTCGTTTCCACTTGTTTTGGCAAATGCATGAGAATGACAATTCCTTTTTTGTTCTTTGGTGACCGATAAATTAGATGGGTGAATGCAACCAAGTTCCTAACTGGAGCTTCAGCAGTCGGAAGCATTGCCATACCTGCGATCTTGAAGCATGCTGGCGTCATTGGCTGGGGAGCTCTGGCTATGGAGCTGTCGTCATTCTTCGTGATTGTGCTATCTATCATGTGCTACATCCGGACGAGCAATGATGATGAATATAGGATACTGTGAGATACGACGCCACGGTAGCAGCTACAAAGAGCCCCCTTAAACCATTTGCATCTCGCATGACGGTGCATCTCGGTACCTCGGATAAATTATTTGTCTGTGTTGACACAGAAATCGTTATTGTTTTGAGTGAGTGATTATTTTGCTTTGTCCGATGAGTGCTTTGTTGCACGATGACTTATTAACCTCTTGTTGTACAGACACTGATGATGTTCATGAATTTGGAAAGAAAAACAAGAAATACTCTGTGTTTCTCCATTTGCAGGAGTGTAACTGCAGAGAAGAACTTGGTGCGCTCCATATAAGTTGACAGTTGACACAGGTGCAGCTAAGAAAAATTCAACTTGAAGGGTCACTGCTAATAGAAAAGTGAACTGAAAGATAACTCTTTATAATCCGTTTTTAACTATCGTAGGAGTCTCTTTTAAAATTTTATCATGGGTCAATATCGACCAGATAGATTGAGTCATGGATTGTTTCTTTGAGAAATATGTTCTCACCATACACAATGAACATATAAATAGATCTAGCTACCGGGCAATCGATAGGGAGGCGGGGTGGCGTCGGTCCGCAACAAAACGATAACAATTGCAATTGCCCAAGAAAAATGCCAACAACGAATGGGAAAATGACACAAACAGTTTCTGAAGTTTAGCCCAATGTACAATATGGTTCATGAATTTTTAATTTGTTCAATGTCGTCTTTGAACTTTAACTCAATGTGCAATGTGGTCTCTGAACTTTTAATTTGTTTAATATGGTCATCGAATTTTTGACACATGTTCAATTTATCCCTTGAATTATATGAAAATGATCAATGTTGTCGTTCCATTAATTCAAGTTCAGGAACTAGATTGAACATTTTCATATAGTTCATGAACTACATTGAACATGCACCAAAAGTTCATGGACCATATTGAATAAATTAAAAGTTTAAGGATCACATTATACATTAAGCTAAAATTCAGGGACTGTATTGAATAAATTAAAAGTTTAAGGACTATATTATATATTAAATCAAAATTTATGAACTGTTTGTTTCATTATCCCATAATAAAACCACACTCATGGACGGTGGAAGAGAAGCACCAAGGAAACAACAATATCCACCGCAAACACCCATTGCAGTAGTTTGAGTCGATAGCGATTTGATGCCATCAAAAGTTGACAAAATCGGGTTAATTTTAAAAAAAAAGCACAAATTTTAAGTCGAGAGACAATTCTGGCCCGAACTTTTTTTTGTTCCATAAAAAAACATCAACTTTAGGTCGAGGGACAATTCTGGCCTGAACTTTTTTTGTCCCATAAAAAGCACCAACTTTAGGTCGAGGGACAATTCGCCCGAACTTTTTTGTCTCGTAAAAAAGCACAAACTTTCATTTAAATCTCAAATTTGGCCCCCATTGATTTTACGTCACGAAGTTACCCTTGTTTGAGAAAAAAAGTTATGGTGGTGAGCCCAGGCGAATCTCTTTCATGGCGTCTGTCGACGGGCGGTGGTCTGGTTGAGATTATGACAAAAGCGACGAAGTTTGGCCGAGAAAGATTCAATCGGAAATATTTTTGACTTGCGGGTGAAGTGAAGGAGACGAACAGTTTCACCGTTATTCTTCAAGCTCTGGTTTAGAGAATAAGACAATGAATAATGCTTTAAATCCAGTCAACAAGTCATGTGGATTTATTGTTAAGGTGGAATAGTCAAGTTGGAAAATCAATGGTTTTAAGTTAATAAGGGCTAGATTTGGGATTTAAGTGAAAGTTGGTACTTTTTACGACAAAAAAAAGTTCGGGCCAAATGTCCTCTGACTTAAAGTTGGTGCTTTTTACGAACAAAAAAAAGTTCGGGTCATAATTATCCGTCGACCTAAAATTGATCTTTTTATAGAATAAAAAAAAATTTGAGGTAAAATTGTCCTCACTTAAAATTGACGCTTTTTTTTTGGAATTAACCCTGACAAAATCAAGATATATGCGCCTACTTTAGATCGCTTGACGAAATCCCAAGTAAATGAAGCACCTTTTCTGACAAAAAATCTTCCTTTGACCATCCTGCTGCTTTGGTAGTATCTAGTTTAGTTTAGGTTTCTCTTCTTCTTCTTCTTTCCTTAAAATGAGAATGTGTTAAGAAACCAACTTGAAATACAGTTGATGCCCGCCTCGCGGTCATATAACCTCAACAGTCGTTTTGCCTGTAAAATCGATGGAAGATTCAAAGGCCTGCATCGTCTTCTCATTCTTTCCCTTTTCAACACCCAGTTGACAAAGCTCCGCACTCTGTCACACCAAGCACTCTTCCAATGATTCCGAGATACTGTTCTCGCTCTTTTCTGGAAAACGTGATGGGTTCGACCTTTCGATGGACACTGTATTATCTCCGCAAGGGTCAGCTTCCAGATGCACGGAACATGCTCGAGAGAATGCCCGACAGAGGACCTCATGGCCGAGTCGGGCACTGGACTTCGCTGCTATCGAGATTTTCTAGATTTGGTTTCATTGATGAAGCTAAATCTCTCTTTGATATCATGCCGCAGAAAAACCAAGTCACCTATAATGCGATGTTGTCTGGGCTCGTTCAAAGTGGGAGAATTAGTGAGGCTTGTTGCTTTTTTGAGCGAATGCCAGAGAGGAATGTCGTGTCATGGACTTCAATGCTTTGTGGGTATGCAAATGCGGGGAGGATTGACGAGGCGAAGAGGTTGTTCAGTGATATGCCGGAGAGGAATGTTGTCTCTTGGAACGCCATGGTTGTTGGTTTGATTAGGAATGGCGATTTGGACGAAGCGAAGTGGCTTTTTGACACAATGCCTGTAAGGGATGTAATTTCTTGGAATGCTATGATTTCGGGGTACACTGAGAATTTCAGGATGGAAGAAGCTAGGGTCTTGTTTGAACAAATGGAGGAAAGGAATGTTGTTACTTGGACCATTATGGTAACTGGTTATTGTAGAATTGGAAATGTAGAAGAAGGTTATGCTTTGTTCGAGAAAATTCCCGAGCAGAATGTTGTTTCTTGGACTGCCATGATTGGAGGGTATGCCTGGAATGGCTTCTACAGAGAGGCTCTGTCTATTTTTCTTGAAACAAAGAAGAATTTCAATCTCGAACCGAACAAGGAAACTTTCATCTCACTCGCATATGCCTGTGCTGGAGTTGGATTTAGTTGCCTTGGCAAGCAGCTGCATGCAAACTTGATAATCAGAGGAATGGAGTCTGATGATGATGATGATGGGAGGCTGAGCCAAAGTTTGATACACATGTACACTCTGTTCGGAGTAATGGACTTTGCTCATCACATTTTTGTCAGAAACATAAAGAGCTGCTCTGCCCAGTTGTGTAATTTGATGATTAGTGGTTATATTCGGAGTGGACAGTTGGAAAAAGCTAAAAATTTCTTTGTCACGGCACCCATGTGTGATAGGATCTCGTGGACATCCATGATCGATGGTTATTTGAGTGTTGGACAAGTTTCCAAAGCACGTGAACTCTTCGACGTCATGCCTGATAGGGATGCTGTGGCATGGACAGCAATAATATCAGGTTATGTCCATAACGAGTTGATCGCCGAGGCTATTGACTTGTTCTCTCAAATGCGGACTCAGGGGTTTCATCCTCTTAATCTTACATACGCAACTCTTATTGGAGCAGCTGGTGCAGTGGCAAATCTTGACCAGGGAAAGCAGTATCATTCCCTCTTGCTGAAATCTAATTTTGAGCTTGACTTGACCGTTCAAAACTCACTGATCTCTATGTATGCGAAGTGCGGGGAGATAGATGAGGCACATGGTATTTTCATGAGCATGATAGATCGGGATATTATTTCATGGAATTCCATGATCATGGGTTACTCAAACCATGGGTTGGTGAATGAGGCTCTGCAGGTTTTTGAGTCCATGCTAAAATGTGGAAGCCACCCAAATTCTACAACCTTCTTGGGAATTTTGTCGGCATGTAGTCATGGAGGGCTAGTTGACCGAGGATGGGAGGAGTTCAATTCCATGAGGGATGTCTATGCAATTCCTCCAGGCCTGGAGCACTATATCTGCATGATTGATCTCTTGGGCCGTGCAGGGAAACTAGACGAAGCTGAAGACTTTGTGCTGCGGCTACCTTTCGAACCAAATTCTGCTGTTTGGGGAGCTCTGCTTGGTGTATGTGGATTAAAGAAAAATTCCAAGATTGCTGCCCGTGCTGCCAAGAAGCTCCTTGAACTGGATCCTTTAAATGCACCAGCCCATGTGGTGTTGTGTAACGTATGTGCAGCGAATGGACGGTACCTCCATGAGAAAATTCTGAGGAAGGAGATGGGTCAGAAGGGCGTACGGAAAACTCCTGGATGCAGTTGGATACCACTGAAAGGGAGAGTTCATTTGTTCCTATCAGGGAGTAAAATATCTTTGGAAGCCGATGAAATACTATCTCTCCTGCTTGGAAATCTTGATGAGCGAGACTGTTTTATAGATTAATAACTCACTATCTGTCTATTCTGAACCGCATCAGTTAACGGAGTTCTTGTTGGTACACGCCCAAATGGCATTGGGTGTGCAAAATCAGTCTTATTAACATGCTGCCAGTTGCACAGTTTGCATATAGGATATTAATCAATGGAGAGAAGATATAGCTGGTTTGTGAAAGCATAACGAGAAACCAGCTGAATAACAAGGTGTAAACGTAGCAAAGTGGCGAAGATCAGAAACTATTGCAGCGAAAAAAAGTTTGCAACATTAACTAATTTGGCGAACGAAGGCAACTGTGGTTCCTCAGTTTTGGAGTGAGATTCTCGTTAACAAAACAGAAATGCAATTGTCCATTTATGTTATGCAAAAGGCGTGAACCAGCAAAGGGACTGAGCTTACCACACCCAATCCTCAAAATGAGAGTAAGTTGTAGGCTTCTTGCATTACTGTTGAAATTGAGGAATGTGCAATATCCATCTGGTAGATTCTAATGACAGGTACAAATCTTTCCCTGATCCGTCGTCATCGCAATCTTTTCCTGTTGTTTCTCGGGGGGGTGTCAGATGTCATACTTGATCATTCACAATTTTGCTGCTTCCATTCACATGTTTGACATTAGGATTAATCTGTTGGAACTAGGGATTATCTGTTACATCGCAGAGGACTTAGTGTTTGGACCGACAGACTCCTCAACATCATGCTTATTATATAAGAAGAAAACTTATCAAGTTGAATGCCACTGAGCTTTTATGATGGGAGCCTCTCTTCTGTGAGTCTTGAGCATTGATAATGCAGACATCTTGCTTGGAGCTTCTTCTCATTATGAATCGTAATGAATTACCATGCAGGCGTCTCAGCTAATGCCGATTTTGCTAGCACTCACCTTGTTCATCTCTACATCATTTTCTGGTTTACCGATGAACCGTGAAGATCAAAACTTCACCAACATTACACTGCATCTACAATGTGGAAAGGTAACTGCAAACTTCATATATCAGACAAGTTCATTTACAATTTGTCTTTAAGCTGTATAATTTTAGTGTGTCGATCTCAGGTTGTTATCTGATAATTTGTGCGCGCGCAAGAAGCATCAAATCAACGCCATTTCGTTTGATCAAATCATGCTCATCGACATCAACGTCCCTCAACAGCACTCAAACTTATTTCACGAAAATTGCTCTCGTCCTGAGACTCAGAGTATCATCATGCGATCAAATATCTTACCCAATCCAGACACAGAACAGGAAGCTCATATGATTCAATCATCATCCTCAACAGTCATCGTCTATATATAAGCAAAATCACATCTTTTTCCCCCCTCAATCCCAGATACCGAACGAGAATCTCCACAAATTCACACTCTCATTATGCAAAGCAGGTCGCTTTCTCCTCCTTTCCCTCTCAGAAGACCACGCGGAACTGCGGCGCGTCGGAGCCGGCCGCGGGGAGGACCTCCCAGCGGCAGGGCTCGAGGTCGTCGGAGACGGGGCAGTACCCGGCGAGGGTGACCTTGTCGGCGGTGGCGGCCACGGACCCGAACTCGAAGACGGTGACGTTGGCCGGCCGGGGGACCTCGACGGCGCCGTTCATGCCGGGAGCTCCGGGGGACGAGTTCGGAGCGGCCGGCGCGCTGGAGGGCTTGGGCTCGGGTTGAGGCTTGGGAGAGCCTCTGAACCAGGAGAGAAGACCCATTGCGTGTCAGCGAGATGCTGTGGATATTGCTAAATTCTCTGGATTAGGGTTTTGCAAGATTTTGGGATTGTTTTTGAGGGGGGTGAAGGTTCGGAAAAGACCTAAATGCCCTTCGCGCTTTTCTTTCCTTTTTTCGGTCGAAACCTTTCGAGGTTAAATGTGAGCTTTACGTCGATCAATCACCCCTAAAAAAAAAAAATTAGGGCACAGTGATAATCATTTTGTTTTCGAATATATTTCTGGCACAGTGATAATCATTTTTTATATTTCTTAGACGAATTTCTAAATCTCAAAATTAATTTTTTTGATCACTAAAAACCTCAAACTAGTACATTTGTAACAAATTTACCTTTCGTTAAATTAGATTAATATCACGAAAAATCACAAATTGAAAAATATGTAACAAACAAAGGGGTTAAATCCTAAACTGGTATATCCTTCAACTGTCACGTGTTATCTAACTTAGCAATTTAACGGTAAAATTTAATAGAAACTAACGAAGGGTAGTTTTGTCATACGTGTACCAATTTAGAATTTTTTGTGGATAAAAAATTAATTTGTGATTTTTTTTCTTACCAAGAAAAAAAAAATTAATTTGTGATAAATTTGTCAAATGTATATTAGTTTGGGGTTTTTTGTGGTATTAATCCAAAAAAAAAAAGTTGAGGGTCACATTTTTACAAGTCATTTGAAGCAGACTTATACTTTTTCGTATTTATGCTTATAAAATCGAATTATTCTAAACTAAGCATGCTTACCCAAAAAAAAAAAACCAATTAAATGCACACTCTCGAGTTAAAATTATTATAATGAGAAAGACATTTAAGTTTGAACTTGTCTACGGTTCCACCAATTCCTAGTAGCAGACCCTAAAATCTAAATCATACATATGATGCCAAAACCAATAAGAGCAAAACATGGGTGTTGTATTGTTGTCGAAATTTCATATTGTGGTGAGTTCATCTCGTAATCTCAAGACAACAATTGGTATATCTGTCATCGCTGATTTTTATATGGGGCTGACTCGTTACTGACTATTAGGTTTGAATAAAAGCTGTTTTAAATCATCCATGACTCGAAAGGCCAAGATTGCCGAGCCTGTCACTGAAACCACCACAAAAATGCTAGCAGCCGGAAGATCTCTCCGAACAAGGTATGTTGCAGCTGGGTACCACAGCACGAAATTTCCGGAATTTTCCACGTGATGTGAGTGGAGCTCTTGATCTCGTGGATGACAGGTAATCTCTACATCACTAGGCCAACCATCTTGGCGGTATTGATACAAAACTTCAGTCACACTTCAAATCTTCCTATCGGTTGCTAAACGGGAAGCCTTGGATCATTGTTTAACTCGAGCGGAGCAGGCATTGAACACTTCCTGATGTGGGTAAACTGATCGAAATGGTTGCCCATCGAACTAATTTGGTCAATTGGGGGACATTGTCGAAGCCGAAGCTTCTTCTCGGCATTTCTCTGTCATAGAAACATGTTCGGGTGTTGAACATTGCGACTTCGCCCCCTGAGAACATTCGAAGCATTTAGCGTAAATCCATCCTACGATTCGAAGTCCGATAACTGAGCGAGTTTGTTAAAGCATTGTCCCACATCGTCCGCAAACGAGTCTTAACTGTTTTTTATATTCACGTGGTCTCCATTCATCTATCAGGTTAAGTTTTTGGATTGAACTTTCTAACATGATATCAGAGTAAAGTTATACCTTTTGTAAATTTTAAATATTATTCGTATTTCAGAATATAATGAATTTAGTGTGGATTTACGTGTCGATATCTGTATTGAAAGAAAAATTCATCTTAGATATAGGCCAGAACTCGACAGGTAATTCTTATTAGCCCTAAGAACCATTTTGGCTACGGCCGCGGCAAAAGCTTGGACGCTAATATTTGCCGTCTTGTATGAAATGTGGGGAGAGAGCAAATGGATATCCGTCGTCTTGTGGGTTATTGTTTTGTCGTGTGGTATTATGGAGCGCCAATGTGGTCTTCTCGACCATCCTTCGTGTTAATGAAGTTAAGACTAAGGCACATGACAACTCCCAAACAAATGTTTGATTCTGTTCTTTTCGTTCTTAATCGCTTTGGAAACAAAATGCGTTTGTTTAATTTTTTGATTCTGGGCACAATTTTGTCAAAAATTGTTCCTGAATCGATTTTCAAGAATAAAAAAGTAGCTTCTTGATTCTTAACAATTTTGAGAATCAATTTTTTTTCTTCTTCATTTTCTTGATTTTTAATGTAGCTTCTAATGTCCGGCCCGAGGACCACCCTCGCCGGATCTGACGAGAATAAAATATTTTAATAAAAAATATTATTAAAATAAAAAAAATATTTTACCGGCCATGGCCGGCGACCAGGCCATGGCCAAAAAAAAGAAAAAAATATTTTTTTAATAAAAAAATATTAATAAAAAAATATTTACATAAGCCTGGCCAGGTGACTGTGCCATGGCAAAAAAAAAAAAAATATTTTTAATAAAAATATTTTAATAAAAATATTGTTAATAAAAAATATTTTACGGCCATGGCCAGACTGTGCCATGGCCAAAAAAAAAAAAAATGTATATTTTTAATAAAAATATTTTAATAAAAAAATATTTTATAGGCCATGGTCGGCGATCGAGCCATGGCCAAAAAAAAAAAAAATATATTTTTAATAAAAATATTTTAATAAAAAAATATTTTACCAAATATGGCCACTGACCAGTGCCATGGCCAAAAAAAAAAAATAAAAATATATATTTTTAATAAAAATATTTTAATAAAAATATTATTAATAAAAAATATTTTACCTTATAGTTGCGAATGTGCCATGGCCCAAAAATAAAAATGTATATTTTTAATAAAAATATTTTAATAAAAATATTATTAATAAAAATAATATTTTACCGGCCATGGCCGACAACCAGGCCATGGCCAAAAAAAAGAAAAAATACTTTTAATAAAAATATTATTAATAAAAAAATATTTTACCGGTCATGGCCGGCGAGCAGTCCATGGCCAAGGAGGAAAAGAAAAAAGAAAAAAAAAAGAAAGAAATATTAAAATATTTAAAAATATTATTAATAAAAAGAAATTTTGTGGCGTTACTAAACGCATTTATGTTATTTTTCTATTCTAGGGATGGAATTTTGGGCCGTTAACAAACGCCTTAAAATGCTCAGAATTAATTCCGGGCACAGAATAAAAAAGAATCATTTCTCAGTAGAATCATTTCCCGGGCACAGAATCGTTGTCATGCGCAGCCTAAGAGTAAGAGCTTTGGGTATATACTTACAATGGAATGGTGAGGAAAATGCGATCAACTTCGAACTTGAGTTTTATAAAAAATCAACCAACTCTAAGCCATCTTCAACCTATTTCCAACAATAACAGAGCATTTTCAAGTCATATTAGATCTCATTCATGATCATCCAACAACATTAAAATGTTCAAACTCGAAGTGAACAAAGAACCACACCTCAGCATATTCTCAACAGCCACCACTGAATCCAGCGATATTCTCTGATTTTCTAACATGTTAAACAACCTCATAGCAAGCCAACGGCATTTCCAGCATACAAGCAACTGATTCTAGTGAATTCTATTTTGTGACAACCAATCCTAGCATACTAGATACAAATCTAGCAAACATCAACTGAAGCCGAATAGGTTTAATGAAATTTACGTTGATTGAACTTACCACCAAACCGTCCATCTCTTGTATGCTTCATTTGCATTTTGCTACTGAACTAAGCTGTTATTGAATGAAAGAATACACTGAAATTAGTGCAAAGCTTGTGCTAATTCGGAATCAACACCAAAAGAAAGAAAAGGAACACTTAGCTTTAGTCTTGTAGCTGTGATCGCTGCTCACGGATCAGCAGGGTACGCAGTTGCTAGACTCGCTGAAGAGAAGATACTTCTCACCGACGAAGAAAGGACTCGCCACGGAATCGCTGAGCAGAAGAGCATATCACGGTGATTTAAGGCGATTGGAAGTTTGGTTAAACCAATTCTTTGATTTTTGCCACTGGAACTGCGGAAAACTCAATCAGATTTTCTTCTAGCTTGGTTCGGCCAGGATTCCTCTCTCTTGGAGGAAGTTGAAGAGAGTAAGACCAAAGAATTAGTGGACGACTCAGCTAGATGGAGGAAACCAACTAGAGAGAGAATTAGTGGAGAAAATTCGCCAGAGAGAGAATTTGCAGAAAGAGATAAATGGAGTAACCATGTGTTCATCCAAGAAGAGAACACGAAAGAGAAGCGTGAGAATGAATGGGAGTTGCAGAGAGAATGAGTTAGTGAGCTCCTCCTCAGAATGGTCGAATGAGCTCTCCGTTATCCCCTCCAATGTGCGCCCAAGAGGAAGAGAGGCAAGAGAATTGGAGGGAAATTCAAATTAACTTCCAATCCTAGCCGTCCATTTGATCCCTTGGCTCTAATTGATTCCTTCAAGGTTAAGCATCATGGCTAAGCAAACCTCTAATTGGTTGAAATTCTATCACATGGATTGATGACATGTCACCATAGATGACCAAGATTAATTGATCAATGAATGGCTAAGATTCAGCGCTTAGCTATTAAGAAATTCCCCTATCGGTTGGATTTTGATGACATTGATCAAGGGCAATTTTGTAATTCCCACAAATGGCAATTTGGTAATTTCTTGAGTGAGAGAGAGCTGGTTGTGGCTGGTGATCCGGTGTGGTGGGCCAGTCGGACCATTCGGGTTTGGCCAATCTCACTTAGGTCGGTCCGGTTCGACCGGGGTGGCTCAAGGTTCTCCAATTGTTTAACTTGGCCCCAATTTTACTAATTAACCTTGACATCTTGATCAATTGGGCTGAATTAAGGATCGATTCAATGATTTAGACCAAATTAGATTCAATCGGATCGGCCCGATTTGAGTTGAGTTAGAATGGTTCAACCGGATTGACTCTCAGCACTTCAATTTCTCTGATTTTGCTTGAATTGCATTATGAGTGAGACTAATGTGTACAATTGAGGTTCAATTGGCTAAATTGAAATTCAATTAATCAAATTAGATGCTAGTTTAGTACGAGTCAAGTTGAATCGAGTCAATAAAGACAACCCATCTTTGATTTTTCAAATGCATGTTGACTAATTTGGTCAAATTAAGACAAATGGAAGTGATTTTGTTAAAATTGATATTGGAATTGAGTTGCATATAAGAAATTAGACTCATTCGCGGTTTAATTGCACAAATTATGAAGAATTGACCCGAAACCCTAATTATGGCTAAAATTGGGGGTTATTACCTTTGGCTTGGAATTCTGATATTGACTTGAAAATTGAATATAAAACAACTTTTAGATCAAATGTCATAAAGGAAACTTTCCTAGAAAATGACTAGAAACAAAATAATTTCATTTTTGTGGCTGATTTGAACCAAAATCCACGAATTGGGGAAAAGTTGATTCTAAATCAATTTTTGTAAAATTGATGATGCCAAAGTGAAATTAAGATAAAAAAAGGAGTTGATTTAGGGGTTTTTGAAATTTTTTGAACCGGTCAACATTTTAGTAATTAATTACTAAAACTCAATTAATGGGCCAAACTTTGAATTTTTTGAAAATTGATGATGCACAGGTGAAATTGACACTATTTTGGGATTTTCTATTCAAAAACCAAAAGTCAACTCAAAAGTCAACATTTTGACTTTTTGAGATCAAAGTGCAAAAATCTAGAAAATGAGAGGCTAATTCTAATTCAAATGCTAAATGACTCTTTTTGGTTGAGAAATAGGTTATGTCGGGATCAGAAACCCTAATCTCAAATTTTTTAACTTACCAATACTTTGGTTAAAAATTAGATATCAACACCAACATGTGCATGTATTTCTTTTTAATAGATATGTTCTACAAGTAGAAGAAAATGGAGACACATTTAGGGATAGACTATGCATTTCAGCCTGAGGTTGTTTTATGTCATCTGAAAGATGGCTCTCAACTTCGAATTACGTTGATTATGGATAGATATATGTCATGTTGCTCTCAACACCGGTCTCAACTAGATCATCAATATATGTCATAAGTGACTCTAATAACATTAAGTATATCAAACCATCTAGCAATACTTCCTTCAAAAGCACCGGTGTACTTATTGCTAAACACTTGACTGAGCCATTTTTATTAGGGTATGAAGCATGTTATAATATGTTCACCAATTTGCACACTGAGTTGAAAATCCGGGGCCCCCATAATAGAAATTGACTCCAAAATCGGGCGAGTCCGCATTGTGCAGTAAGTCATAACATTCAGGTCTTGTCACACCCTTCCCGAGATTCTCCGGGTCTCTCTCAATGAATCTGTCGTCGACGACTTTAAGATTGCGGAAATAGGACGCCTTTCCAAAGCCTTCATAAGGGAAATGGCCGCTCCCCATTTGTGTTGCCGTATGACTACCACCTGGTTTATTGCTAGCTATCTCTCCGCCCCAAATAACTCGATCGGCAGGGCCTTTCAAATAAGTGAAGATTTCCCTGGGCCAGTATCCTACTTCTATGTCCAGAATGCGCAGCCACCACCACCCGGTAAAATCATTCTGAAATACTTTTGTTAAAAGACAGAAGGCTCGAAAATATCCCGTGTATATTTACTTCAAAGATTGTTCCATTACCTTCGTAATGTCTATAGTTAGGTCATATGGCTGTCCACCATAGGTGGAAACTGGTCGAATCAAACCACCTAGAGCAATCTTCTTATTTGTTTGTACGAATCCGTCGCATTCGAGATTGTAGCAACCGGTTTTCTTATAGCCATCACTCTATAATCCACCCAAGAAAAACATGTCAATGTTTGATATGTTTGCGAAAGTTTGATGAATTGCAAGCGGTTAGAACAGTTAAGAACTCACTGTCCAATATATGAAAATCTCTGCCTCCGTGCTATCACTCCTCCGTTTTCTATTAACCTATAACAAAAACACAAACCACTTAAAGTTTTAAATCTACGCACATTTAGAACGTCAATCATGCTAAAATCTGCAGATTCGATCATTCTAAGTTCTTACCATCCATCCAGCCTCCACAGTGTTCACATTCTCATCGGGGCCTGATCCGAGCCAAATTTGAGAGAAACTGATTTCTGAATCCATTACTGTAGGATTCCACACACTAAATCGTGCATGACCTCCCATCAAGTTACCACCTTGCATAAATGCAACAGCATACTGACCAATATACATTAAACTCATAAGGAAGTGAAACTTAAGGATCAATGCATAAACAAAAATGCAACTCAAAATCAACGCGGTAAGTTATATTGTGATGTATTTGCACTTACTTCATGTCTATATGGTGCACTGAAGTCATTCCCGCTCAAATTGAGTCGCTTCACGTGTGGAATCATTGGTGTAACATGATGATTGGTATGATTTTGTGGTCTTTTGATGGGAATTGTTCCTTCTGGGCATTCACCATATTTCCACCAAGCTTGACTAAACGCACCTTCCACATATCCGGCTCCATTCGCTTTTCGATTTGAGCTTGGTTTCATCTGTTCGTAAACGTGCCAGCTTTAGCATTTGTTAAATAAGGTGGGCGAATATATCTAAGGTTGCATAATAGTACTTCTGACATAGAACAGCCCAAAGTTCTTATACATCCTGCAATATTGAAACAGCTTCCTCCTAGAACTGCTCTATGATGGCCCTATAAGGCACTTATACCGACATCGCCGCACTTATTCATTAATTTCTACTGCTAACTGCAAATTTTTTATGGGAGGCACGGGAGAGAATACCTGCGCAAGTTACAAGTCAAAAAATGAGCGGACACAAACCTGCATGGTATGATTCTTGAGAAGCGGATGATCAAAAGCGGGTTGCTTGAAGATGTCAACACAATCGATCACTTCACCAGTTTCATAACTCTGCAACAGGTTCTCATACATTATCTTAGCAAAGAGAACATATTTAAAAGATAAAAATAAGGTGAAATAGCAACATGCAGAGTTTAGGAATGACCTCAATGGTTTTTACCGCTCCTTTAGGCTTATCGAAGCCTGTAACTTTGTTTGATGCAAGGATTCTCGCTTGAGCGCGCCCATCGATTATCGTACTGATAATACTTATCATCAAAACCAACCATTTGGAAAAATGAATACGTAGACTTACCATTGCCATTGTAGAACAGACCGGAGCATTTTTGAAAATGAGGCAAAACAATGTTCTTCCTTAAATACACATAAATCGTATCCCTATGGGAGATCTGAAACCTGATTCAGGTATTAATCATTATTAGCCTGCCATGGATCACCATTTCCACAAGCAAGAAAATGATTCTTCTTTTGGCAAGTATGGATATTTTTGCACATGAAAGGAAATGTTCAAGATTTGGTTATCTAAAGGAGATATGCATCGACGATTTATCCTTGTCTTTCTACATATGGAAACATAAATAGAAGAATAAGGGGTTGAAATGTCATCATTTCCTCAAATTGTAACATCCCCAAATTTGGACTCCAAATAGAACCGAGATAACTGAAGGAAAAAGGCATTGGAAATGGTGTGTGGACCAATCCGAGGGTCGGTCATGGATTGGTCAGTATGGACGGAACGATATCTAAAGGATCGATCATGGTTCGATCGAAGGATCGTCCATGGATCTGCTAAGGGATCACCAATGAAATGACTTCCTGATCATGCAAATCGATTGGAGTGATTCGACCATGGATCAACCATTCGACCATAAGGGTTGGTAGTGGAACGATCCCGTGCGATTGTGGATCGACATCGTGTGGGCATGTGTCGATCGCAGGTGATTCCATTCGGCCATGCACCGGTTACAAGCGTCCATGGACCGACTCCGTGGTACTCGGTTCCACGTGGCTACATAACAACCGAGGATCGACCATGGATCGTTGATACTTGAACATATGCCGATTGCGAATCGGCCATGGATTGTTGCGTTGAATTGGGCTGTGACATCCGAAATTTTCTTCGTAGTTTATAATATTTAAGATATATAGTAGTGAGAGTTATTAAGGTAATAAAATTAGTTTAGTAATTGTCAACGGGGACCGATACGCTCCAAATTACGTATCGAATGAATTTCAAGCATTAAAAATTTTATTGAGTTAAGGTGTTACTTCTATACTATACTTTTTATTTATGATTGTAGCGGTTTCAAAATAATTTTCTGATTTACAGGCATTTCAAATGAATACCGATTTCTCTATTTATTTATCGCAATGTATAGTATATACCCAAAATAATTTAATATCTTCCTCTATTCAATTAAATTATGCTATTTGTCATTATCTTAGCATGAATAAATGTCTTAATTTTCACCCTATTTTGTCACATGCCCAATTGAAATGCTTGGAAACCTAAATTTATGACATCATGCGTGACCTATTACATTTTAACCGTAGTAAGTTTTTATCTAAATATAACTATAGTTACTTGTCATTATAGTCTTTAACCCAAGTAAATTAATGTGACAAAATGCTTTTAATTATGGTAAAATTTTGGGAGATAAGAGGCCTCATAACACTTCTTCTTCACGTGCACCACTCCCTTCTTCTTCTTCTTCTTGTCCTTCTACTTCCCGAGCAAATTTTCTTTTCGGCTTTCTTTCAATATATATATATATATATATATATATATATATATATATATATATATACATATATCAAAGTTCAAGCTCACTTTCAAACTAGCTTCTTGACAAGGTATTTTGTTGAATTTTCCTTTCCTTTTTCTTTATCAAATATGCTTTGTTGATTTCACAAGAATAAGATTTGTCAATTTTTAGTATCTAATTTGTTTTCAAGGTGGTTAGAGGTTTGCTTTGTTGAAGATTTCACTTTGGGTAAGTGAAAACTCTAAGGCTAAGCTAGAATGATTTATTTAGTGCTCTTGATCTTGGTTGGTTGATTGTTTGTTATTTAGTTTGGATTTTATGTTATGTGTGAGCAAGTTTCAATAGTGTATGTTATACTATTGTGATTGTTGAGCTTGAATTACAAAGTTCTCTGCATGCCGAGATGTCTTTGAGAGATTATTAGTATGTTTTGTTGCATCTTGAATGAGAAAGGTGGGAAAATGATAAAATTAGGCATAAAATGGTATTTCGGTAAATTTTGTTGTCATGGTAAGGAAGAATTTCGAATTTTACAGAAATAAAGAGAGGCTGTGAACAGTGTTAATTTATGATTTTTAATGTTAATTAGTGGGTTATTAAGTTTTATTAATTAAAGGAAATCAAACCGGTTGAAAAAACGAGTTTATAAGCTTTAGGGGCAAATTTGTAATTCCGCCAAAGTTGAGGGGCGAATCTGTAAAAAATGAAAGTTCTGGGGACTGATTACAGTATGTGGAATCTCACTTTGATAAGTGGTTAAGTTAGTTTTTAGAAATAATTGTTTAATTAGGTCATATGTTTAACTATGCAAAATTGGAGCAGTTTTGTAATAATTAATTAAAAGTGGGCAGTTTTGAAAATTCTGTAAAATATGTGGTGTCTATAGTGTAATTAAAATGTTCGTGTGTTTTAAAGCACAAAAATATTATCATTTAGTTTTTATTTTAATTATTATGACTTGGTTGGTTAAAAATCGAAAATTAGGGGTAAAATTATAAAATGAGAAATTTTACCAGGATAATTTTCTAATTTCAAAAATTAGGAATAATAGAAATGATCGCTTTTATATGTGGTAAAAGTGAGCTCGATCAAGGGGGATTAAGATAATAAATAAATAAATAAAAATTAGATGAGATACTAAATTATGGAGTAGTAGTATTTAAATGTTATAGAACTTGCAAAAGTGCTCTTCTAAATTGATATTGGCTTGGTGAAAAGAAAAGGAAAGTTCTTATGTTGAAAGGTGCATAATTAATTTGTCTTATATATTATGTTGAATGACAATAGATTGACACGTTGTTTGCTTTTGTAATTATGAAAATACGTGACATGTTTTGCGTTATAATTAATTATGTATGTCTTTGATGTTAATTGATTAAGACCTTTGCCGCAGTCTATTTGCCACCGAGCGAATTCCCTTGTATGAGTTATAGATAAGACTCTGGATTCAGCAAGATGTTCTACCGTATAAAACGGTTTTCTACAAGGTTGAGATGATATGAAATTCTATGATGATATGGCTCTTGTGGTCATGGTATGACATGGCTTTGCCATGGTATGATATTAAGAAACGACCATAATCACGTGGATGTACAGTGGTGCATTTATCCTTACTAATGAAGAGGATACCCGTAATGAATGGGCTGAGGTGTGGCAAAGGGTATAAATGATTCCGTCCCCCATGAATTGGTGGTGATGATACCTCGTTAGTCGAGATGCCTTGTGAATCGATATGGTTCTGGCAATTGACGAATATGAATTGATGAGATGGGGAAAAGTGCTAAAAAAGTCATAAACCTTTTGCATTGGTGCCAATTTAGTCTTAAATCTTTTTTTGGTGCCAATTCAGTCCTAAACCTTTTGCATTGGTGCCAATTTAGCCCTAAACTTTTTTTTTGGTGTCAATTCAGTCCTAAACCTTTTGTATTAGTGCCAATTCAGTCATTTCGACCAATTTTGGCCGGATTTTGTTGACGTGGACAGCTTTAATAATATTTTAATATTTTTTGAATTTTTATTTATTTATTTCTTTCTTTCTTTTCCCCTCCCTTCCTCCTTCCTCTAGCCGGTTACTGGTTTGGCGCCGGCGAGGCTCGCCCTCGCTAGTGACTGGGCGAGGCCGGCGAGGGCGACCCTTGCCTCGTGGCTAATGAGGTCGACCTCGTCGGCCTGTGGCCTCTGGCCGGTCGCCGGTCCGGCGATCGGCTGGAGGAAGGAGGGAGGGGAGGGGGAAAAAAAAGAAAAAATAAATAAATAAATAAAATTTCAAAAAATATTAAAATATTATTAAAGTTGTCCACGTCAGCAAAATCCGGCCAAAATTGGCCGGAATGACTAAATTGGCACAAAAACAAATGGTTTAGGACTGAATTGGCACTATTAAAAGGTTTATGACTGAATTAGCACAAATACAAAAGGTTTAGGACTGAATTGACACCAAAAAAGGTTTATGACTTCTTTGGCACTTTTCCCCAATGAGATGTTATGCGATATATATGATATATAATATGCCATCCATTTTCACCTGAATGATTGATTTTATGCAAAATTATTGTTGTTTCATTGACATGTCATGATTAGAAGGGTAGTATCATTATTCATGTATTTTGTACTGCCTTGGACTTATAATTATTGTTGATACCAGGTTGAGTGGTGAGTGAATCTTCTATCTTAGACTTAGAGATTTCAATTATTGGGCCTCGGTTCACTCCTTATTTTTCAAATATGTAGGATGGATCCCTCACCGCCGCCACGTTTTGGAGCCCCTATGTTTTTTGATTATAATTATGAAAACATTGTTGTACCTGGATCACCAGTGATTTATATTAGGTGTACTACCGTTTTATGGGTCGACATGGGGTTACCAGAATATATAATCCATAGTTATGTAGCTTAGTATGTGAATATCGATGGCGAGTTAGTTGGAATGCTTAGAGGCTTCGATGGTCCTCCAGGGTTTGGCAACGATGGCATGTCGTCGGGTGAAGTCATTGATCCTTAGTTGATGGTCCGTCAGTGTACAGGCAAGCTTTTGGGTGTAGTAGTTAAGTGCTGAAGTTAGGCAACTCTGACCTTTCCCAGTAAATGTATTTTGTTTTTTTTTGCCAAATGTTGTATTGTAAAATTTGATGTTAATATTTATAAAAAGATGCATATGTATTTTATTATACATGTTTGGGAATGGTGTGAATGCTTTATTATGCTTCCGCATGTTTTAATAATTATAAGAAAAAAATTGGTAAAGACACGTATCACACGTGACGTTCTGAGGCGTCACATGGGTAAGCCATGGACAGGCCATGTGCCAGGCCTTGCGCCCGACCATGGACTAGCCGTGTGCCCATCAGTCAGGCCACGGGCTGGCCCTGTACTTGTCCGTGTGCTTGCCATTGTGCCGGGCTTTGTGCCCATGGGTTCTGGTCCAAACCTAGTTTTGTGCATGCCAAACTTGGCCACGGGCCATGCATTGTGCCGCCCTTGGGCCAATGAACCGATCCCTCGTTCGTGTGTCCCGTTCGTGCACTCGGCT